GAAGGGGGGGTCACTTCTGTCCCCAGCAGGTACTCAGAGGTAGTTGACAGAATCAGGACCGGCCAGCCCTGCTGCTCCCTCTCTGAGACACACTGGAGACTGTTGACAGGATAGGATTTCCCAGACCAGATAAAAGGATTCCCAGGCCACCAGACAACCAACCCTCATGTAAATGCAACATAAACCAGTCCCCAGACTGTTACTGGGGATGTCGGTGAGAACGAAGCCTCCAGACTGGCCGTGAGGGAGATAAGCACAGAGATGTGACTCATCCAGCTCATGGCTGCTGTGGCTGGGGTGGTGACTTGGCGAGGCTGGAGAAGGCAGAGCTGCCTCTGTCCATATGTCAAGCAGCTGCAGAGGAAGCTCCACACCCTCCGGCTCATCAGATGGGGCCAGTTGTTGCAGGAGAATGGCTGATGTGCTTCGTGACCTTGATCTTGTCTCGGGCTATGGCTCCCAGTACACTAGTAGACCTTAGTGGCCCTGACCAGTTTCACCTGGGGCTTCCACCCACACCCTCCACCCATGGGCCCAGGCACTCCATTTAAACTCCACCCAGGGCCTTCAGTCTTAGTTTGAGCTCTGCTGTGGGAGCACAGGTCTCCAGCTCAACCACAGCTATGGACCCTGGTGGTTCCAACTCGCAGACTGATTTCTTTAGCTTGATGCTGGACCTGCCTTGTCACCATGGATCTGCCTGGTGGTCTCTGGGCTTGACTCAGCTATGTGGACCAACTTCCCAGCTTGGCCTCAGACCTTCCTCATTGCCACAGATTTACCTGATGATCTGGGCTCTTGGCTGAATCTGGCCACCATCTCTGGACCTGGCCTGCTTTCTTGGTGTGAGGTGAGGCCCCTTCTCTGCTAGCTGCTTTGGACCAGGAGCTGAGGGGGAACAATGGCTTTTGCTGCTTCTTGATGAATTCCCACCACAAATGCTGTTGCCTACCTATAATCTCTACTCAAGCGCTATTCCCATGTGCAGCTACGATGTCCTACTGCTGAACTTCATGCAGTCCACAGCCAGGCAATCACACTTCTTTTTACCTTCTGCTTTGATTTGGAGCCTGATGGGATCTCCTCCTCTCTTGTAGGCTCTGCAGAGTCCTGTGGGAGTGCTATAACAGTGACATCCCTTTGGATCTCTGTTGCCTTGTATCTTGGTTTCTTAGGTTTTCAATTCCAGGAATAACATCCTGCCTACATTTCACTTCTTGGGGGCATGACATTCCTAAGCCCCCCTGTCCAATAGAAGTTTGGATTTATCCCTTTTCCTCAGAAGCCCATGCTGGGAAAGTGAAATACAGGATCTAGGCTTTTGCTGCTGTTGGGTGAGAGCTGTGTTAACTCCCTTCTTTCATGCTGACCCTCCTCAGGCACAGATGTGTGTGAGTCATAGCCTGGACTTCCCATGTCTTGGTGGAAGCTAAGAGAGAGGGTGGGGTGATATTTGGTCTGGAAAATCTTAAAACAAATGGTTTGTTCCAAGTATGTCTGGGAAAGAAGAAAAAGCCAAGAGATGATTTTGTATTTGAAACTCTAGCTCTTAAAACTCTATTTATTTTGCATTGAAAATTGAATGGAGAACCCACTTGAAAATATTCCCCTGGTGATCTTGCTGGGCGAAATTAACGAAGCAGCAATAAGAGTAATGTGGTATCTTAGGATGCTTCTCGGTGGAGATGCTGCTGGCAGGGAAGGCATAGTCATTACCTGGTATCCCCTCACATCAGCTTGGCGATCCCTGCCCTGGATTTACACTGCTTGAACCAGTGCAGACTGGAAGGAAGGGCACCATCACAGCATTGTGGGGCTCAGGGCATGAATAACAGGAGCAGGGGAGAGTGGTATTGACAGAGCAGGAGGTGGAGGTGTATATATATGGCCTGTCTTCCTCATGTGTGCGCTTTTCCTGTTCTGATACAGATGCGTTTAATTTAAAATCCATATAGAAATGTCCCTGTACCACAGGTAGAGAAATACTGCTTATGTGATCACCACGAGTTCAATTCCCTCTCAGTAAGGAGCTGTTTTACGAGCTCTGATTTTCAGTCCTGGACTGAATCCTTGGTTACTAATTTTCTTCCTTGGCAGCCTGAGAAGGAGCCCATGCTGTGGCAGGAGAAGAGCTTTGCACGTGGGCTTGGAAGCGCCCCGCTGGGGGAGTGTCTCCCTGTTACAGGCAAAAGCTCTTCTGTAAATGCTTCACTTGTGCTGTTGAAAGCATCTCTCCTGTTTCCAGCTGGGCACTGGTGTGCAAGCCTTTCTGGCTACCACAGAAGAGCAAGGGCAGTCTCCTACTTCCAGGGTGATCTGCCTGAGCTGGGACTTTGCTGGGTTTGTCCTCTGCACCAAGTTATCAGTGGATTTTGCTCACTGCTGTCAATGCAGTGCCCAAGGGCACCAGCTAGGAGCTGCTTTCTCCAGGCAGGAGTGGTAAGGTGGGTGATCCTAAGCAAATATGTCATCCTGGTGGAAACCAATGATGGAAACTTTCCAGAGGTGGGTGCAGGTGGGAACCAGATGGCTTTCTTGCTGCCTGCCTGCCCCTGCACGGCATCATGAGTTGGGGGGAAGCATCATCAATGCCCAAAAGTCACTTGGGGAAGCTGCTCCATGGGAAAAGTTGCAGGCCAATGCCTCTTGGAGTGCTGTTGGAGAGAGCAAATGGATGCCAAGAGCAGTAAATAATTTACATTGGTAAAAACACAAAGCTGGGTGGTCTTGGTTCTCTTTCTTTCCCCCTTGCTTTGCATCTGTTCATATTTAGAGGCCGTACATGGCTGTTTATACTCAGCTAGTCCTGGCGTGCTGCTGGCTTTGTCCTTGGCTGCAGCCATGCTCATAACGAGTGTCTGAGGCTCTGCAGCCAACGCTGCTGCTTCTGCACAGGGTGCTTTGTGTTCTGTTTGGAGTTGTACACCTGCATAGTGTCAAAAGCACGACTTGCTTATCTCTGCGTGGGAGACGTTGGGTAGGGAGGACATCTGTATCCGTATGAGGCTGTTGGCAATGGAAGGAAGGCTCAGGAATGAGCCAGGGTGGTTTCACTAGTAGATTACTGCAGGGCATGAGAAGGTTCAAGCTTGTGAGCACCTCAGAGTGTGTGTCACATGCCAGATCTCTGCAGTGCCTGCCAAGATGCCAGGGTGGTGGACAAGTGCTGCTCGGGCTGGGAATGCAGGTCGTGCTCCGGTGGAGGGAGGTGTTGTTAGTTTTGTTCTTGTATCTCACAATCCTCTATTTTTAACTGGCAATTGATTAAATCAGCTTTCCCCAAGTCAAGTCTGTTTTGCCTGTGATGGTAACTGATCTCCCCGTACTTATCTCACCCCGTGAGCTTTCTCCTCTTGCTGAGGAGGTGTGGTGAGAGGGTGGGTTGGTGGGCACCTGGCAGCCAGACAATGCTAACCCACCACCTCCGCACGAAAAGCTGCTGCTTTAGGCAATGCCAGCTCTTTTGCATTGTAAATGATCTAAGATGACTGTTCCTGCCTCCTGGAAAAAGCCAGGAGATCCAGAGGTGCTCACCACCCCTGGGTCTTACCTGAACTGTGTAGTGCAGCAGAGAAGGTGGGCAGGAAAGGAGAGATGGTGGGTGAGGTGCCAAGGGAAGCTGTCCAGAAAACTCCCACTGGAAATCTAAGCTTGCCACAAAGAGGAGGGGAGAAAAAAGCAAACTAGAAAAAACTGTTTGTTTTAATCCAAAGAGCTTCATGCAGTCTCCTTGCTGACACCTTGACAAAGTCCTGCAGTAGGCTCATGCTCTGGGGGCTGCCCTGAAAGGGCTTTGGACACTTCAGGAGAGAAAGCAAGGCCAAATGCTGGACTGGGAAATGCTGCTCCTGGTGGCTGCATCCACAGGAAGATAGACATAGTTACTGTTGTGTGTTCCAGGACCTCTGTAGATTAAATTGACTGCTCAGGACACAGTGTGAAACTGGAACAAATGAGGCAGGTCCGCTTGTGGCAAACAGCCATAGTGATGCCAGACCCCAGCACAGGGGTGTTTCAGGGTATCATTAAGTGCCCAGATCTTGTGTTCCTGATGGTGGAAAGAAATGGGATCCCTGTCTGGGTGGTGTTTCAGGGTATCATTAAGATCTTGTGTTCCTGATGGTGGAACAAAATGGGATCCCTGTCTGTTCTTTGAGGGCCATTCTCTCTAGCTGCAGCCCGGCTGGTGGCTTTTCTGGGACAGAGGGTATTTCCTGCTGCAGTCACTATGTGGTCTGGGAGCTCTGCCCATCTGGTCCCAATTAGCCACAATGCTGCATCATCCCGATGTGTGTCTGAAATACGGAGTTATTTGTGATCGTGCCCATCAGAGATGGATGGGAGGGAGCTGAGCAGACACCACTGTTGGGCATCCAGCAGTGGGCAGGGGGAGAACATCTCTTAAAGAAGATGGGGAAGGTTGGAGATGAGATGGGCAGAGGGTGTAGAGTAATAGGCTTGGGACCATTTTTTGGTGAGAGACAGGCAGGAGAGTACAACTGAAAAGACTTGTAGGAACTCAGTCTATATACTGTATGCTTGGACCTCTCACCCGTGTTCATCAGCCTGTGGCTGGCTCTGATGTACCTTCAGTGATGGTTCCTGTCTCCCTCACCAAGTGGTGTAGTGTTGAGGTGACAGTGCCCTCCTCTGGCAAAATATGAAATTCGAGGCTCCGGAAAGAGTTCAAAATGGGGACTATGAATACAACTGCTCCTACAAACACTCCTCTTATGAAGGTGTGTTGGTGGCATAGGTCTCTTTGGGATGTTCAGAGCCCTGGCACAGACTGTGGAACCTGCAGTGCAGGAATTCTGCACTTGTAAGAGTGCTGTAGCTACAGAAAAAGGTTATTACCCATTTTCACAACCATCAAGTAATGGAGTAATGCTGAGTCCCTCACACTGAAGCTCCTAGAAAGCGTCGATGGATTTTTTGACTCCTCAACCTTTCCATGTTGCAGAAATATTTTATATTCTTTTCCTTCTCTTTTCTTCCAGATCCTGTTTGACCAGGCTCAGAGGTCAGTCCGGCAGCAGCTGCACAATTTTGTGAAAGAGTGAGTATTTGTTTGATCAGTTTGGTCTTCAGCTTCTTGAACTTCCATTGCACCCGTCCTGTGTGCACTGAAAACAGAGCTGCAGCTACTGAGGCTTAGAGCAGAAAAGACACTGAAAAGAGGAAAAGATGTGATTTGTGTGATGGCTGTTGCTGTTTTCTTGCTTCCCTATTTACGGTTGGACAAGATGATCTTTGAGGTCCCTTCCAACCTAGAAGATTCTGTGATTATATCATTTGGTGGCTCCGTTGTCAACCAGGTGTCTTCATCCTGTTCCCAGCTCATAGTTAAAGCTGGACATTTCAGGTCAGAGCAGAAGATGGCGGATGGGAGGGCCCTTCTTGATGTGGAGAGCACAGCTAATCTTCACTGTGCCTTCAGCTTGGCCTCTGGTTTCAGAGTTCTTTGCTAGTGGAGAGGAAGTTTACAGCACCCTGGTGTGAGCAATGCAGAATATTGCATATTAAGGATGTGAACTTGCACGTGGCAGGCCCAAGGTGTGGAAGAACTGGGCCCAGGAAGTTAATTAGATGGGGACAGCGTGCACCTTGATCAAGGCTCTCAGCAGGCTGTCCCTGGCACAGACATGTAGCATGGGATCCCACCTCAGCTGAATGTAGGTCAGAGAGGCACCCCAGGCCTTGGGCTACGCAGGAGCAGGTTGCCATGGGAACTGGTAATTGTCTGTGAATCCCTCAGCAGCTGTGTGGTTTGATGGAGGGAGGGGGTCCATAGCTGACCCCCCCTTCCTTCCTCATCCCTCTCTTCTGGCCTGGCATTCACCCTACCCCCGCTTTTTCTCTAATCATTTCTCTGATGAGCTCAGATTTAATCTGCTTAAGCCTGGCAGTCGGAAGGGGGAATTTCACCTTCCTTTTGGGTCTGTCGTCCTTTCAGCATCTTTGCAACTTAACTCTTTTTTTTTTTTTTTTTTTTGGACTTGTACCACTCAGCCTCTGCGCTTGCGGGCCCTGGCACTTTCAGCTTTGCACTGCTCCTGCCCTTGCCTGGAAAATAATGTCTACACTTGGGACCTTTTTGAATAATCCACCTCGGGCCAGTCTACAACTTCCTGGCTGGTGATGGGAACAAATGGACAATGGGAATCATGCCCTTGCGTGGTGGTTCATGTGTATCTGAGGGGGCAATATTTACCCTCTAACCTGCCCTCCCTGTCCCCAAGCCCCGAAGGTCTTTGCCTGGTTTATTTACCTGGTACACCTGGGAGAGGTCAGCTTGCCCAGACCATGGTGTTAGTAGCCAAACACTCTGTGACTACCTCAGCACCTTACCAAGGCACAAACCATGCTGAGAAGGAGGGTTTTATCAGCATCATATACCTTCAAACTCCTGCTTCTTTCCCCTGGGGATGAGGAAGCCATTCTCCCCAGCGCTGGATCAAACCCTGTGTAATATTTCCACAGCCCTTTGCTGCAAGTGACTCAAAAATGCAAAAAAGTGACCCCAGTATTTTCCTGTGAATGGAGCTAGATGGCCATGTAACTTGGCAGTTGGCCCCAGTATTTTCCTGTAAATGGAGCTAGATGGCCATGTAACTTGGCAGCCCTGAGGGCTATGTGAAGAAGCAACAACCACCAGAACAGTAACCCAGTCACCTCTGTTCTCGTCTGTCCTTGCTGTACCTGCCCATGGAGGAGGCTCTTGGCCAGAGGCTGATCCGTACATAAGTGTATGCAACTTCAAACAGTTTGCCACAGGGCTGAGTTCAGCATTGACTGTCTGTCATGCTCAAATGAGGCTCTTCATCTTCCCTAGGGCAAAGAATAAGTGGATGCTACTTATTTACTAGCAGTTTTTGACTACTTTAAGTTCTAACGATCTATAATTGAAGTAAACGGAGCTTCCCTGGACAGAAAATAAATGTTTGTGTTACAGCTGCTGTAAATCAGCATTGCTGCTTTCACCTCCTGAGGAACCAGGGCCACTTGTAAGAGGTGATCTTCAGGAGTTGCTGTTCTCACTTTTTGTGGTCATGCAACTCAAATCAAGTCCTGCTATTTAATTGAAAAAACCAAACAAACTCAAAAAACCCTGCCTGTTGCTGTGCCTTTATAGCCTCCCCCCTCCCCTGATCCCATGTGAGACCTCTAGGCTTAAATAAAACTTGAAAGTTCATATTGTCCATCATGTATTTCTGAATGCAAATGTTAATAAATGTGCGTACTATAGTAGGAGGAAAAGAATAGTCAACTGTCTGGATTTTACCATCAGATGAGAGAGTGAGCTAGAGATGCACGTGAGCAGCCTGGTTGTCCTCCTTGAATGCCCTTTCCTGAAGTTTAAAAACAGCAGGTTTTACTCTGAAAGTGAAACATGAAGCAAGTGTTTTCACAGGTAGGTTCTGAAATGTTCTGCTCACTGCTTGCTCTGCAGGCAATTGTGGACTGTCTTTAGGGCTGGAAGCCATCTGGCCTGGCTTTCTGGTTGCTGTCCTTGGAGAATTTCCTTAAGGCTTTGAAGAGAGTGTGTAAGGTCCAATATTTTTTTCTTTGCCAACTGTCTCTAAAGAAGAACTGTCTAGAGTTAATCTGGAGTCAGTCCAGCTGGACTCAGTGGAGCTTGGTGGGGTGGGTTAGTATCCCAATGGCGTCTGGAGCAGATTTCTGACTGATCGTAGTACATCTGGTGGACCTTTTCCTGCTCTGCTGGTATCAGCAATATTCTGGCTGCTTTGTAATCGTGATTCTCACCATCTCATCTTCTTTGGGTTCCAGTGATGTCCGGAAATTCAAGGAAACCAAGAAGCAGTTTGACAAAGTGCGAGAGGACATGGAGATTTCACTGGTGAAGAATGCCCAGGCACCTCGGCACAAGCCCCATGAAGTGGAGGAGGCGACAGGCACCTTGACCATAACTAGAAAGTGTTTCCGGCATCTGGCTCTCGACTACGTGTTGCAGGTTGGTATCTGTGCCCCCAGCTCCAACTGGATTTCCCAGGACAGAATGAGACATCACAGGCAAATTGTGAAATAATCTATTGCAGGGGATGAAGAAGTGGAGGGATGAGAGAGGGCAAGTAGGGTCTTTGAACTGTACATTCCCTTCCAACCTCTACTATGCTGTGAGTCTATGTGGGAATGTGTGCTTACCTATCTTTGCACCTTTGTGTGTCACTGACATGACTCTTCATGTCTGTGACATGTTCTCCTTCCCAAAAACACTACATCGTACTTGAGAAGGGAGATCTTAATCATTTTTTCAGTAAGAGAGATCTAACACGCTCCCTTGGACTGAATTTCTCTTCCCAGTGGGGGATTTCCTGCAGGAACGCTAACTGCACCCAGAATGGTTGAGGATTTTTCTTGGAATCATTCATAGGCTTCATGTCAGGTCTGTCTTTTCAGGCAGTGGGGATATTAAGCAGACAAATTCAGTGTTAATATTGATCCGTGTGTGTTTCCACTAGCTGTCACTCCTGCAGCACCCAACTAAGACCATCTGCCAGCACGTTCTGTCTGACCATGAGGTAGTTTCTGATGGCACATGCTCTGGCAGCTGCAGATAGAAAGGCAATGCTGTCCCCTTAAGGTATAACTCCTTCATTTGATGCCAGATTGCACTCTAGGGTTGCTGCTTGTTGTCAGCCTATGTACAAACTACACCTAGCAGTGACCTTCATCAGGCCCAGGTCAGAAAAAGAAGCATCTATCCTTTTTCCCTTTTTATTCCACCTGGAACTCACTAGAACTGTCTTTTCAGAAGGTATATTTCTGGAACTGTTCTTGAATAGTTTGTGGCTTGCTGCTGTGGGTATTGCAGCAAGTTGATAATCCTTAAATCTCTGTGCCAAACTGCTTAATGCTGCTGATGCTGATAGTCTTATCTTGATTCCTTCACAGATCAATGTCCTGCAGGCCAAGAAGAAGTTTGAAATACTGGATGCGGTAAGGGCTCTCTGTGTTTTGCTCTGAGTGACTCAATGAAAGGCAGCCCTCTCCATTTCAGGTTGCATGGGGCAACATACCAACTCCCTGGTCTGCCCTGGAGATACTGTCTGGGACTGCCTGGGGGGCTGCAGGTGTGCTGACAAGAGGGGAGAAGGAAGGACCAGCAAGATACCCTACAGGCCAGAGCTAGAGGGGACTTTCAGGGGTGACAGACACTGCTTTTACTGCTTTGTGCTCACAACATGGGTGACCTGAGAGTGTGGAAGTGTGAGAGGAGGAAAGGAGAAGAGGGAAAGGCATCCCATGGATAGATTGCTTTGGGAAGAGAAAGAGTTAGGCCTTGAAGAGACTTGTTTGTGGATAATAGGGATAGGGACTTTTCACACTTGCTTTGTCCCAGAGCCTGTTTTGACCTTGCCATTCTTTCCCTCCCCAGATGCTGTCCTTCATGCATGCCCAGTACACCTTTTTCCAGCAGGGCTACAGCCTTCTCCACGAACTGGATCCCTACATGAAGAAACTAGCCACAGAGGTGAGGAGACAGGGAATATGGTTGACTCAATGTGCCTGTTGGTACCCCTTCACCCCTAAAGGACATCCTCTTCCCTCTTCAGCTACCGAACTTGGTAATTGGGGAGTGGTTAGGGCATCCTGCTTGGTGGGTGTTGGATTAGCTATGCTGCACTGCTTTCAGTGCACACCCAAACACAGCCCTTTTCCCATCTTCAGGGACTTACGATGTTAGGCAGGGCTGGTGTAATCCCAGAGCAGGGAAGCAGAGCTGGACAGTGGCTCATAAACATCCTTCCTGACTTTTATACCTGGTGTTCTGCTCCTTGCCTTTAGCTGGACCAGCTGGTGATTGATTCTGCGGTGGAGAAGAGGGAGATGGAGCACAAACATGCGCTGATACAGCAGAGGGTGAGTCCTGGGGCTGCAGCTTGGTGCAAGCAGCACTTCTCTCCGTTAGTGTGGCTGCCTGGATCCCACAGTGATTAGGGACCTTGCTGGGTTAGTCCTTCACAGCCTGGAGCAGTAGCAGGAGAAGCTGTTGAGATGAGAGTAGTAACCTCCTGGGTGCTGGAGGTCTAGCCAGGAGGTAGGGCTGATGAAATGCAGCGTGTTCAGCCACTGACACATGCGAATACACAAGGGAGAGGGACACAGGGAGGACCTCATGGGTTGGGGCACCTGGGTTTCTCTCCCAGCTCTGCCATGGACCTGCTCTGCCTCTGAGCAAGCCTTCCTTCTGTACTTTCTCTCTCTCTTTGCTGCTGAGGATGTGGGAAGACTTAAAGGTTTGTGTTCTATAAATGGCTGAGACAGAGGAGGGGATGTAGTTGTTTGTAGTCGCCTGTGAGAGCAACTTGAGTGCCTTGCAGAACTGCTTTTGGGGAGAGGCTAGAGCACTTTTCTCCCACCCTTTCGTTTCTCTGCTTTTCCTCTTTTTCTCCCCCAGTCTTGTGTCCTCAAACAAGCTAACTTTTGCCTGGAGAGCCCTATGATCTCCAGCTACTGCAGTATTCACGTGTCCCTTTTGACATTCCTTTGGTACCCCTGGACAGGGCTTGCTGTGGGGCCTTTTTTTTGTTCCTCGGGGACTCACACTGTCCTGAAGTGATGTTGATGGGTTGTGGCAGGGAGAGAGCAGGACTCTGTGCTGCCATTGAGAGAGGAGTGTGCTGCAGTGAACTTTTTTCATGCAATTCTGCTCCAAGCTGCAGTTCAGATGATTCTTGCTTAGCTCCTGTGACATGACCTGGCTACAGCCTTGAGCAGTGTAACTTTGGGAAGGTCCATGGGGGCTATGGCATCCCACTCTCACCTGCTGTGGCTGGGAGTAACCACCATGAACTGACAAGATAATAGGATTTATTCCCAAACAATTCTGAGTCTTCAGTAGAGAGGCATTTTTGGTTAACGTGGGCTCTGATTTTCCAGAGTCTGATTTTTCTGAATCATTCCATCTGGGAATGATTCCAAATCTGAGGCTTGTAGAAACATCAACTAATTATTTTTTTTTCTTTTCCTTCTCTTCATGGATTGCTGACCTGTCCCTTGCAGACCCTCCTCCAGGTGAGTACCCACATGTATTTCCTCCTCCTGGCATCTTCACTGCTCAGATTTAGCACTTTGCTCTGGATCTTTACGAAGTCCTACCTTGAAAGCAAAACAGAGCAACCTTGCTGTCGTGTTAGTGCTGTCACTGAACACTGGAGATGTAATTTCAAAGTCTGGTTTCAAGTGAGTTTGATCCATTCATCTGGGAATGATTCCAAATCTGAGGCTTGTAGAAACATCAACTAATTATTTTTTTTTCTTTTCCTTCTCTTCATGGATTGCTGACCTGTCCCTTGCAGACCCTCCTCCAGGTGAGTACCCACATGTATTTCCTCCTCCTGGCATCTTCACTGCTCAGATTTAGCACTTTGCTCTGGATCTTTACGAAGTCCTGCCTTTGAAAGCAAAACAGAGCAACCTTGCTGTTGTGTTAGTGCTGTCACTGAACACTGGAGATGTAATTTCAAAGTCTGGTTTCAAGTGAGTTTGGTTTCTTCCTTATCAAAGCTGTTTTCAGTCCTGTGCTGAAGTAATATTTCTGTTCCCTCTACTCTGTACATTGGTCTTGCCTTGGCATTCAGTGTTGTGGTGGCAGCAATGCTGGGTTGGCTTTCAATGTAGGTTTGATGCCTCGGAGCCTTTGAGGGCCACGGGTCTGGTGGGAGGTGAATGGCTCATAACAGAAGGCGTTGGTGGACTTTCAACACACACTCCCCCTCTGTGGGCAGAGCAAGAGGGGATTTCAGAGAGCCCTGGGAAATAGCTGTTCGTCAATCAAGGCCTGAGCAGGACTCACTAAAGAGCCCGTATCTGGCAGGCACTTGTGTGGATCGATACCTCTCAACAGGAGGAATCTAAGAGGCTGTTGTTTCCTTCCTAATGCTCTCTCTCAAAAATGTCATAACCCATGAAATGGAAACGTAACCAGATTTGAAAGCTAATGACAGGCATTGCCCGTGAATTGGCCTGCGCGTATGCTCCCTTTGGTTAAGTGTTCTGCGGGAGGGGTGAATCCATTTGTGAACTCTCCCTTCCCCCGGGACCCTGCTGGAGTGATGACTTCATTCGAGGGAGCATGGAAAATCTCTGGAGCACAGTACATTTCAGCTAAATCTCTTTACGTGGCTTTACTGACTGGACTAGCAGGGAATCAAGCAGAGGTCAGGTACCAAGAGGGGGAACGAGCAATTAGTCTTCATCAGAGTACAAATGCATAGAGCTGTGGCTCTCTTTTTCTGTGCATAAGCTTTTAAGAGAGCTCAGCATCCCTACTGCAAGGCAGGATTTAAAGCTTTCTGCCGGGAAACGTTATAATGAGACTGTTTTTCAGCTGCTCTGAGTCAGAGTTGCTCCTCCCTTTGTGATGGAGCATGGCACTCTGCATCTGGTGAGCATCTCCCCATCTCCAAAGGGAGCACAGCCCGTATTTGAATATACATCTTCATGCTGAGCCCAGAATACCCTCTGGGCGCTTGACAAATTTGGAGATTTAGTTGTGCTTAATTAGAGAGGAGTGGCAGAAATATCCTTTTTTTTTTTTTTTCCTCAACACAGTGTCTTCCCAAGCAGCCTACTAAAGCATGACGGAAAGGGAGGGAATCCAGTTTAGATAATGTGTTTTGAAGTGTTTTTTGGGATGGGTTGGGGTGGGGGAGCCGTGCAGATTCTGAAGACAGGGAATGGAATTGTCTTTGAGCAGCTCTGAGGTGTGAAGGGCAGCCTTCAGGAGGCTTCTTTCAGTTCATGAGGAAGTGGTCTGTGGTGTTTTATTTCATTATTGTTTTAATTAAAATTAATTTGGCAGGAGAGAGAAGCTCAGCACAAATCTCGACTATTTTCTTTGATGCTGGAATTCAGGTGCCTCTTTCCTACGCCACCCTTTCCCCATCGTCCTTCATGGAACATCTGCTACCTTTGGGGCAGATTCCAAAGGCAGTTATCATTTCAGGCCCTCATTTTAACTGTCTTAAACCACGCTTGTGATGAATTTATGTGTTTTTATGTGGGCTCAGTTGCTCCAGATGGATGCACAAAGACACACTGGTTGCACCACTCTGCAAGAGACTCCGGGGAGACGTTATGGCACCTTCCAGTCCCTAAAGGGGCTCCAGGAAAGCTGGGGAGGAACTCTTGGTCAGGGAGTGTAGTGATAGGATGAGGGGTAATGGTTTGAATTGGAAGAGGGGAGATGGAGATGAGTTACTGATTAGAAATTCCGCATTGTGAGGGTGGTGAGACACTGGCCCAGGTTGCCCAGAGAAGCTGTGGCTGCCCCATCCCTGGAGGGGTTCAAGGCCAGGTTGGAGGGGGCTTGGAGCCACCTGGTCTGGTGGGAGGTGTCCCTGCCCAGGGCAGGGGGTTTGGAACTCGATGATCTTTAAGGCCCCTTCCAACTCTTAACTATTCTATGAGTCTATCAAAAATTTTGGAGAACTTAGCACTGCAACACCCAGGCCCAAAAATGTTGGAGAACTTAGCACTGCAACACCCAGGCCTAGGAATTTTTTTCCAATGGGAAATGAGTAGAGAAACAGTAACATTTAAACCAGTCTTCCCTCCCAGATCCTGACCTTCCTGAATGCTTCCACTGCAGAAAAACCAACAGGCCAATCTCTGAAAGTGTAAGAATCCAGGGCTCTATATAAGCTCCTTTGCAGCCTTGTATCTATTCCCTGGTCCAGAGTTGTGGGGGAAGCAGTTGTGCTCCTGTTGCCTGTTTGCAGGGGGAGGGAGATGGAGTGCCAAGGCAGAGCTCTCTGCCTCATTTAGTCCAGCTGGTAGATAACAAACTCGGGGCCATATGGCACCTCAGCCCCCGGATTTCTGTGGCTGTGGTGGAGCAGGAGTGGAATTAACTGGCCAAAAGGGTGGCTGTGCTCCAGGAAGCCGGGGGGGAGACAGCCCCTGCTGAAGGGCAGATGAGCTTGGCCCTGTGAAGGTCAGGGAGGCATTCGGTGAGCATCTTCCTGTCGACTTGGCTCTGTGTTGCCTGGCTTCTCCTGCTCCCTTCTGTGCCTCCATGACAGCTGTATGATAATTAGCCCTTGCTCTAAGCTGATTGACTGTGAATAGGAGGCTCGAGGAGGGGGTAAGCAAGTGGTCCCCCGGGGCCAGCAGCCTGCCTTCCTTCCCCTAGTGCCCCTTGCCTCCACAGGAGCCAAGGGCAGAGCTTAGAGCTTCCCAAAAAGGAGTAGGAGGGGTAAAGGAGAAAGGGCTGAAAAAGAAATCCCTCCTTCCCTGCCAGCCCACGGTGCTTAGCAGAGATGCTACTCTAGAGAGCGAGCAGAGAGAGAGAGAGAGAGAGGACACACAGACCTGCTCCCTGCTCTCCAGGCAAGAGCAGCAAAACCTCCCTTGCAGCTGGCATCATGAAGATTTTCGGCAGGCTTGAATACCTCCTGGTAAGGAGATTCCTGCAGGGTTGGCTTGACTTGGGGAGAAAGTTTAGAGGGCCCTTTTCCCTGGGGGAGCGAGGATTGTGCCTTGTAGGACCTCGTTTGCTGATGTGACCTGAAAGTGAGTGGAGGTTTATTACTGCAGGGAGAGAAAATGTGTTCAGTTCTGGGATGGAAAAGCTTTGGGGCAGGGCATGGATCTCTGTGCATCATCTGCTGGCAAGCTGCGGAGCGGGGAGATCATTTGGTGTTGGGAAATTCAAGAAACAAAAGGGGCTGTAAATGGGATTTGGCCAGAATGAATGAAAGCTGCGCAGAACGGGAATGTAGGTGGGGGAGAGCCCTCCTCCAAATTCCATCTGCCTCTGAGGGTCTTGAGTTGTACACAGCATATACACAGAGGTAAAAATAGCCAGATAAAGAAAAGCTTGAAATATAGTCAGGCACTAGAAGAGAACAGAATGTGCAGGCACCAGTGTTTGTGTGGAAGGGGGGTGTGTGCATCTTCAGGGAATGTGAATATTCCTCGGACTCGTGGTCTCTTTAAAATTCAACAGCCAAACTAGTCACAAACCGTTTTAAACTCACCTCCAGGAGAAGTTCTTTTCAATGCATGGATGTATGCATAATGCTGTTAGAGCGTACATAATATTATGGTTAAATACTGAGCATCATTGATTACTTAAGAGGGCACTTTTGGATAAAAGCCTTTGTCTTCTGTGAGGGAAAGCACGTATCGCGTGTGGTGTCGCTTGTCCTAAATGGTATTGATTGAAAATAAAATAACACGGAGGTTTGGTAGTAAGACATGCTTCTCTGAATATCTAAAAACAACTGGGCTGGAATTATTCACTGGTCATGATTGCCTGGTTTTGATAGTGTTTTCTATCAGTAGAAATCCAAACATTGTACAGAAAAGGACAGTGCTATTATTTCCACATTGAATTGGTACACTGAGGGAGTAATGCTATAGCTTTTCAGGGAGGGCCATTGCCATAGTGATTGAATTTTAGATCATTTTAAGGAAGCATTGGTGTTTTAGAGAGAGGTTCTGTTTGTTCTCAGCCAGGTGTTGTGCCCTCTGGGGTAGGAATGAACCTATAAACAAGACCTTCCTCCTGCAGTGGGCTCCTTACTTAGAAGACTCCCCCCCTCCAAGGATTCCAGGCTGATGAGGGGCATCTTCACCCTTCATATTAAGTCTTTTCACTGAAGCTGGAGGTTTATTTAATTTCTTCAGCCATTTTCTCTATATGAAACGCTGCCTTCACAGGAGCAATTGGAAGAGCTTGTCTGGCCTCTGCAATTCAAGCAGTCCCTGTATGTGTGCTGTGTGGAGATGGACAAGGGAGTTTTTAACTGAATGGGCCACTAGGCTACCTTTAAATAGGGTTTATTCTTTCTTTCCCCTTTTTTTTCTTGTTTCACAGGTCTGTCTGTGCCTGTGCTGAGTTTTTGCTTTCCATTTGCTGATTTGAAAGTCTCCACATTAATGTCCTTTTTCACATCCCAATGGACGTGTCCCTTGGAATGTGTTACTTCATTGTTGCGTTGGGTGTGCTCCCAAAGAAACCATTGGGATGTCATTTCCAAAAGAATATCAGTTCCTGGGCAGCCTCA